GCAAACCGCAACGCACGGTTGCAGCGACACCGTAGCCTCGAAATCAGCGCTTGCGGGCCACATGCGGGCCACGATCGCCGCACGCAATTTCGGACTTCCTGCGTGTGGTCCGCGAACGCTGACTCGCGTTACGACGCATGCGCTGTGGCAGCGACCGCACCGCAAGGGCTCGTGATACACTATTCCAAAACTTCCTAACGTTTACCGCTCTACACGTAACGGGCTGCTTAAACAAAAACGATGCACGATACGTAATCACAGGTATAGATATGAGCACAAAATAACAAGTGTCCCAGTTGTTATATCTCACTGCGTATGAAAAGCGCACTGTTTTCGGAAAAGGGGCCTGTGCAGAGACTGAAGTGACCTTTGTGGGCCCGACAACTGACGCTTTCATTTGAGTGAAAGCCGAAGGCCCACGATTCCCCCATCAAAGGATAAGCGTGTGCGCATACAAAAAGAAAAAGCCTGGACTTTCCATATAATTGCTAGCGCAATAAAATAGGGCCAGATGCGTTTTGGCGTTCTTGTCAAAAGAATCTAGTAGTGAGCAAAGCTATGACCCATGTTTTTGCGCCGTCCCGTCCATTCACGTATGTCCCAGGAACACACGCGAGTAGTTTTGAGTGAAATAGAATCTGCTAGTTGTGTTGATCCTTTGAGACTCTCACCTTAGTGAAAAACTCTACCCTCGTGTGTTTGGCCACTCCTAGCCCCTATAAGACCGCAACGCTGATAATGGCGCTTGCGATTGGGACCCCCCTCCCACCCCCTTTTGTTTTTCACGATGTTTTTTTTGTTCCTTTGTCCTTGTTTTGTTTTGGTATGGTGGCACCATCGCATGTAGTTGAGCGGTGGCGCCACCATACGAGTGCACGGGGCCGATTGACGAGGCAGCTAGTGTTAGTCAGGCCTAGTGTGTGCGTTGCTATGTGGAATGCCGCCATGAGGCGCTTGCTATGCTTGGCAAAAAAAAAAAAAGCGCAGAGATCGGGCATAGAAAAGATCGCACTCACAAGCTAAATCGATGGCAGCATGCGTAAACAGTTTCGGTTTGCGGTTGGTAGAACAGCCGCCACAGCTATTGTGAAAAAAAAGTCTTCCAAGCTTGTGAATCCGTGTGCTGATGGTCAAAAGCACAAGCTCAATCTTGTCTCAAGGCATTGTCACACAATAATTGAATTTACATGTTTATATGTGTGAAATTGGCTCTCTACAATGATGCAGCTTTTTCCTGAAAAAAAAAAAAAAAAAGAAAGGAGGAAGACAAGCTGCGGTTGACGTGGGCACCACTTCATGGCGGTACGTGCATGACAGGCGACCGAAGCAAGAGCAACAAAGGGGGCAAAGGCTTCCCCATCCCCTACGCAACCATGGCCCCTCTTCACACCCTGCACCCGCGTGAGGCTGGTGTACCGCCACCTGTTCTCAGTCCCGTAATGGCATTGTCGTTCTCTCCCCAGCTGGCGCACCTGAACTGAGAAGTGCGCTTGCTTCCTCGCTTCTCAGGATTTTCCGACAACTGCATTGTAACTGGTTTTTCACTTCAGGGGACTGCACAATACAGTCAAACCTCGTTAGTGTGTACCCACTTTAAACATACTAACGATTTAAACATAGTTGCGACGAGTACTCGACCGAGTCTCTTAAAAACTAATGCATTTGTGGGCCGCTTATGCCGTTGAGGTTCGTCTTATGCCTACTGATTAGTGTGCACCATCTGCATATAGTGATAACAGGTCCATTCTATTTACCTGCAATGTCTGAACTGGTTCACGTCGGGCTGCACTTGGCTAGAGTGACCTAGAATATTGGAGTGCCCAAAGCGCCATGCGAATACGTTAGAGGAGTGAGGGCCTTCCGCGGTGGACTCCCCACCGCGGCGCTGCCGTGCCGGACCCGTGTTCTTTGTCCGCATGAAAAGTCACGTCACAGCAGCAGGTTTCTGCTACGCACCTGATATTTTGGCCGCTATTACTCAATGTTGTGATAATGTGGACAAGATTTAACACTGTGTCACTACAACACAATGCTGTAGCGACTCACCACACAGATAACATGTTTGGTAGTTTTGAAGCGTGGATCTTGTATATTTACTTTCAGTTGTTTTGTCATGTACTTACCCTCCCATTTGAAGAAAGCATTGTGCGCACACCCATCGTGAGCGAAAGGTACTTAATTTAGTTTCATGTAGAATGACTAACATAATCAGGCTGCAGAAGGGAATTAGCTGCAGATTGCAAAGATGACCAGAAGAACATGGGATGAGGTACGATGCAGTACGGTGCAGGTTCTGTATACAGTCAAACCCCGTTATAATGAAGTTGAAGGGGGAGATGTAATTACTTTGTTATAACCATTAGTTCGTTGTGGCCAATATTCATTTATACCGACAATTAGCCAGCAAGAGAGAATGTACTCGCCAACGAATATCACAGCTGCCCTACGCGCAAGCAAAAACAGCCGTCGGAAGGTAAATACTAGCAAAATAATAAAGAACAATGCACTTTATTTCCGCCAAATTTAGCAGACCAGCTGTCCAGATCACTTCGAAAGAAAAATAGTCCTTAGTATACTTTTGCCGACTCTTCCTCACGTGGATGACTACTTTTTCAGCTGCAGCAGCTATTTCGAGTCAGTCTTCGCTGTCATCGTAAGCACCAAAGAAGCAGCACAGTAGGTCTGTCGCATCCAGCGCTTGCGCAGGAATTGGTACACTGGGTTCGCCAAAATCAGGCTCCGGGGTGTCGACACATTCGTCACTGTCGTCATGCACGCCCGTCACCGTGGGCACAATTTCCGCACCTGACAGCTCTTCGGTTGTCACCACGTCAGCATCGGCACCGATGTACAGTGGACTCCTCGTAAACGGAACTCGAAGGGGCAAGAAAATTTGTTTAATTTATGAGAAGTTATGAGAAAATACCTCATGCAAGGCTGGCCAAATGGAAGTAGAGGCAGCAATGATTTTATTTCAGAGCTCCCTTTCGCTTCATGGCCTCAGGTACACCACCATGCTTTGTGATGGTGGCAGCCGGTCGTACAGTGCTGTCAAAGAAGCTAAGGTGTACGGCTTCATAAATGTTGAAAAAGAAGACTGCTCGAATCATGTGCAGAAGCGCATAGGGACTGCGCTTCGGAACCTCGTGCAGAAGCACAAAGGGGACAGCAGCGAGCGCATCAGTGGCAAGGGCCGCGGGGACCTCATCACAAAATTGACGAGTTATTACGGCTGGGCTTTCAAATCCCATTCTGGGAATGTGGATGAGATGCACAAGGCTGTGTGGGCTATGTATCATCATGTGACACCCACTGACGAAAAATCAAACCACAGCTTCTGTCCACACGGCCCCGAGTCTTGGTGCAAGCATAATGCAGCCATGGCAAGGAATGAGCCCATCCCAAAAAGCATGTACAATTTGCCAGAGGCTGTGAGCAATGCACTGCGTCCTGTTTATGAATGCCTGTCCGACAAGAAGCTCCTGCAGAGATCCACCAGAGGGAGGCAGCAGAATGCAAATGAGGCCTTACATTCGGTCATTTGGAGCCTCTCACCGAAGGACAAGAACGCATCATTGCTTGCCATTGAGACTGCCATGGCAGATGCTGTTATGCGTTTCAACTTAGGGAACAAGGAATCCAGTTCCCTTATTTTGCCTGAGCTGCAGCTAGATCAGACATGCACAGGTAACCAGCAGGCGGTTGAGAAAGACTATCGCCGTGCCGTCGGCTCGGAGAGGAAATGTGCATCTTCAGGGGCGTTCCAGGCAGCCGCAAAGAAGAAGCACATGCGAAAGCCTGCCTTAGACTACTCCGCAAGGACTTTCTGAGTGATCGTGAATACAAGTGCTGTGGCTTTCATGCATGAAATTTTCATTTTCACAACTTTTTCAGTTTTTTGCGTTTTTCTCAAATACAGATTTTTGCATGTTTTGAATTTTGGGATGAGCACTGTGTCACTAATACTGATTCTACTGATTAGATTTTTTCGATCTTTTTTTTTTGTTTGAATGCTAGGGTATTAATGTGTGCAAGAAAACCTTGATAAAATGTTTAAGGACATAGTAAAATTTTGAAATTTTCCAGAAATCACCAGTGAAAATTCAGAGCTAAGAGACTGCGACACAAAAACTTCATAATCTAAAGTAAAATTTAGATACTAGCATGATATTGCATATTCGCACTATTTGAATATTCAGCAATATACAGGTTCAGTTATAGCTCTTTTGATGCATTAGTTTTTATGCAAGTCACATCCCAAATTCATAAAATAAGAATAGTTGTAACTTTTTTTTGGATTGATGTAAAGAAATGTAATTACATATTTTCAATCAGTGTACAAAGCCGAATATTCGCTGAAAAAATCGTGTCTCTAGGCCTAATACTAATATATTTCACTATCGGGTCCCATGTCCCCCCTTAATGCAGCCATAAGCTTTGCTATTCTTTGATGTTGAAACATTGTCGTGTCTGAAACTAGTTTGGTATCAAGGATATTTCAATTTACGGGAGTTCAATATAGTTGGGTTTGGCTGCATGATTTTTACTATCAAATTGCTAACATGCGAGATAAGTGAGACTGCAAAAGTATATTTTTGGTGTGTGCTTCTTGATGCATGTTGGTTTCTAGTCAGCGCCTGTGATGCACAGCTTCTTTATCAGTCCCCGTATTTTTAGCATTAATTTTAATATCATGATTCATCTTGTTCGAGTGTTTTCTTGCACTAAAATATTAACAAAATGCCTCTGTCTCATTGGCCAGGGTTCCTGCATGAGGCAGCATTGATATGAACCACCATACTGGTAAGAAAGTTGTTATAGCGATTGTCAATCCCAGAAAATAGTTGTGAAACTGTTGTCACTTCTTCTAGTCAGTTCTTGCTATCTGAGAACCACTGTTCAAAGGATGTTGCGTTAACTTATGCAAATTACTTTTGACTTTAGGAGTGAACAGAAGAGTTCTATATTAACGATGCACTGCAAATGGTGGTTATTTGCAGGGTGGATCAACGTGCGTCTAGCAATGGTCATGGGACAGAGCCTGTTGCTGGCAAACGACCAACCACTATTGATTCCGGTTACTGCAGCACATCAGATCCCACTGACAGTCGTTGGTCCTTTGAGGTGTGTAGTCTACTGCTGCTGCTGCTGTCCCTGTGCTACATGGTGTCTTGCTAGGGATTTCCTGGAGTCCTTGAAGAAAACATGAAATGTCCGGTCCGCTGAACACCAGGAGGCAATGCATCAGCATTTCGCTTTGAAATAGAGCAACACTACACAAGCCAGAGCTCGGGCCCTTTGGCTTGAATTCTTGGTAACTATTGGGAATATCACTGGACAAGTATGTTGACATGTCTTGCAGTGTCTTATGGCCTCACAGGTTAGCCTTTTACCTGCACTACAAATAATGAACATCTGCTGCATTGGCCTCTCTATAATTCAAATCTGTGTGCCTGCCGATGGTGAAGGCATAGTCTTCAAATTGCTGTAACCAGGTAATCCACTCTCCGGTGTTGTCGAAGTAGAATGGGGCCAGGCTCCAGAGTCTTGTAGCAGCGAGAGCAGGAACTGGAATGTCTTTGTTAACCATGTCAAATGGCAGGAACCTAGAATCTCATTTCTGACACCACGTCCTGGGACAGTTCGAGCTAAGGTGGCCAAGAAAGCCATCTGAAGCCCCAGGGCCGTGGAGTATGGACGCACGCTCAGTCCCCAGCAGAAGTGATCCTCTTTATTTCTGATGAACCTTTTTTACACTACAAAATAGAGGGCACCCCATAGCAGGCTTGGCTAAGACATGGCTGTGTATGCACTTGGTACTCTCGCGCCCTCTACATCTTTTGCACCATGTTAGACTGCAAGCCAGCTAGTCAAGTGAGTGAGTGAGTGAGTGAGTGAGAAAGGAAAGGCCGGGAGGTTACAGCTAGTCAAATTGAACTATTGCAGTGATGGAAGTGCTGCTCCAATTGCTCCAATTGCCCTAAAAGAGAAATGTTTCTCCATGCTGCTCCAAACAGTAATTTTTGTTACTAATTGCTCCAAAGCTGCTCCGAAATGACTCTGAGAGAATGAGAGTGACAAACGTTTACTCTTTGATCAACTCACAAGTCCTTAAGAAACCTTAAATAATCGGTGTACTTTCATCCCACTGTGCTGCTAGTTGCAGAATTATCGGCCCTGATCCCATTTGTGAGACAGAACTGTAATATCGACCATGAACTTCATTTGGCCGTTTTTTTCATCAGCTTGACATGCAGGCTAGTGTGGTGAATGTGAAAATGAACCGGATTGCTTTTATCTCATACCTGTTATCTACTGCTCATTTCGCAACACTTGTAATGGACTGTGGTTACTTCTAAAATGTAGCGCTTAGCTTTTCCAGTTTATATTGATTAGTGCCCCAAATATCAGTATTTCAAATTTAGCTCATTTCACAGTACATTTCTGACAACCTGCCATTGTTTGCTTCATGAAATTTACTTTGATAATTGATGGGTAAATACATTTCATAATAAAGAAAATATTTACTCGGTGCTTCGACAATGCTCTGAACACCAATTAAGGGGGGACGCGGCCCTTGAAAACCGAAAAATCGCGAAAAAGTCGGTTTTTGAAAAACCACATTTTTGGGTTGTATGTCTCCTAAACTACCAATTCTGTAATTATCAGCACCTAATTAAACCGCAAAGTGCAAAAAAAATACTATTTTCGAGGCCGCCGCGGCGTCCAAAACAGGCACAAATCCTGAAATCAAACCAAACTTCGCGCGCGCGCCATTCCCGGACCATGCGGTCGTCCCGCGCCATCTTGGTGTTGTTTTGACCGTGAATTCTTTCTCTCTCATTCGCCGCCTTGCAAAATGGCGTCGGCAGCACAGTTGAGACGCTATTGGCGTTATCCCGCGATGCGATGCGGAGCGCTGATTGGCTAGAGCAGCGCATTCATATCTCGCGGGAGAAAGCGTGCCTGCCATTGGCTGCTGTGCAGCAGCGGGGGCGGTCGCTCCTCTCGATGGCGCGTCCAGCGCGCTCGCTTCGTTGTTGCTCTCTGCTCCGTCCGCCTCGACAGACATCTGCTTACGAGCCGCACTTCGCCTTGTGCTATCTTTTCGATCATTTTCTCTCGTTTTTTTTTTCTTTTTGCACTAGTTCTGTGCCTTTCGTCTTTGTTGTTGCGGGCGATGCCGGCAACGAAGCCGAAGTCAGTGCGGAAATCCGGTGCGCGGAGGCGCGCTATGCGGCTTGTACGATCATTGAAATTCCGCTATTCTGCTGCGGGTGCCGACTGCGTAGACGCTTGCAGCGACGGAACTTTGTTGTCGGCTGTCGCCAGTCGAGAATCTGACACATCGAGTGTGGCTGGAGCCACAAATGCACCGAGTGTTTCCGAGATCGCCGAGCTCGACACGTGCTCCGAATCGATGCCATTCAGTGTGACACCGAGTGCTTCTGATATCGCCGGACCCAGCACTTCGTCTGAATCGGTGCCATCGAGCGTGACACCGAGTGCTTCTGATATCGCCGGACCCAGCACTTCGTCTGAATCGGTGCCGCCATCGAGCGTGAGTGGACCGTCGCTTCATCTGCGGACGCGTTTCCTAACGAAGGAAGAAATCGATGCGAATGCGAAACGTCGTGACGCCGTTCGCGCTAAACTCGAGTCTACGCCGGCGACGCAGAAGAAATTTCAACTGATGCAGCTGGCTCTTGCACCTGCAGTGACAAGTGAGGGCGAACATTTTTCGCTCGTTCAAATGAACATCTTTAACGTCGTGCTCAGCCGCACAGTGTGCAAAGAGTGTTTGAAAGGTGCTATGACTGTCCGAGAGAGCACCAAGCTTGGACTTGCAACAAAACTTGAAGTCGTGTGCGCCTCTTGTGGCACCGTCGATAAATTATGGACATCACCCCGCAAAAAGGACACGCAGGCCTTCGATGTAAATGTCCGCGCCATAATGGCTATAAAGCAAATAGGCAAGGGGCAAACAGCTCTTAATGACTTTTGGGCTGCCATGAACGTCTCTTACAGAGGTCTTCACCACAAGACGTTTCAAAAGCACTTGAAAGTGACGTTCAGGAAGCCAGAGGCCACCGCTTTGGAGAAGTTTTATGCTGATTCTGCCACAGCAGTGATCAAAACATATAAAGAAATGGACCCCAGCTTCTGCAAGGACATCACCGTAGTGTACGATGGCACATGGCATAAGCGGGGTCACACATCACACATCGGAGTGGGATCGGTAATTGACTTCTTTACTGGTCTCATCTTGGATGCTGTAGTTCTTTCAAACCACTGCCTTGGATGCCAAACAGGGCCCAAACCTGGAGAAGCAGCATACGAAAGCTGGCAGAAGCACCACATTTGCCAGAAAAACACAGACGCAAAATCGGGAAGCATGGAAGTGGAGGCAGGCTTGACTCTCTTTGGGCGGTCTGTATCCAAGCATGGCCTGCGGTACACCACTCTTGTGTCTGACGGAGACAGCCGTACCTTCGCTGCCCTCACAGAAGAGAATGTGTACGGGCTAGTGCCAATTGTAAAAGAAGAATGTCTGAACCATGTTCAGAAAAGGAGTGGAAGTGCTCTTCGAAACATTGTGCAGAAAAGTGATAAGCCACTGAGTGGGAAGGGGAAGCTGACTAAAGCCCTCATTGAAAAGCTGACAGGATATTATGGTTGGGCCTGAGAAACAATTCAACTGACCTAACAGCCATGCAGCGTGCAGTGATGGCAACATATCACCACGTCACATCGACTGACCAGGACCCTCACCATGAACTTTGCCCAGAGGGGGCTCAATCGTGGTGCCGCCATAGAGCTGCAGAGGCAAAGCGTGAGCCACAGCCAAAACATAAACACAGCCTACCGGACTATGTCGCTGCAGCTATGCTGCCCATCTACAAAAGACTGTCACAAAAGTCGCTTCTTCAGCGCTGCCTGGGAGCGAAGACGCAAAATGCATCAGAATCATTCCACTCCATTCTGTGGTCTCTGATGCCGAAGGAACAACACTCATCCTTGATCGCGGTAGAAACAGCACTGCATGAAGCAGTGCTGCGCTACAATGCCGGCTGCTGCAAAGCAACCCAAGTGATATCGGACTCCATTGGACTTCAACCAGGTCATCTGGCCATTCAGCGAGCTCGTGAAAAAGACGCTTTACGCCTAAAAAAGAATTCTAAAAGACACCAAGAGAAGATGGAGGCCAGGCAAAAGAAGAAAAGAGTGCGCCAGGACACTTCTAGCTACTGTACTGGAGCTTTTTGAAGAAAACACGTGTTTTGAACTTTCTCGGCCTGTTTTCTCAGAACGGATTTTTTTGCTAGTTGTGGTGCTGAGGAAAGCAAGAACTCGAAAACCGTTCATCAGATTTGTGTGCCGTTTTTTTTTTATTCTGTTCCTGAATGACCTTGCAAGGGCGTAACAAGCTCCTTTTTTTGAAAATTGGTGCTGTTAATTTATAATAAACAAATAATTTTTGATGAATCTGGTCATTACTGGTTGCATCAAATTCAAAGTTGCGTGAAAATTTTTTGGGGGGGGAAATTAAAAAAAACGGCTTTGTAGCGCCCTGGGATAGCTATCAAGGAATGACCACAATGAATTTCAGCTTTCTACTATGTCCTGGAATTTCTCACGACTCTTCCTCAGGCACCCATGTGAAGCACCCAGTTGAACCTCAATAACTCTGGAACTAAGAAACACAGCTTCGTGAAACTTAGCAGTTGTGCTAGTTTTATTGTAGTGAACAACCCCTGAAAGTTTCATCCAAATATCTTAAAAAATAAAAAAAGTTCGGTCTCCAGGGTAGCCTCCCCCCTTAATGCATGGCAAGTTTATTATCTGCTCCTAAAGCACTAGTAGCTGTTGTAAACTTGCATTTTTTTCTGCTCGGAAAACTCTTACGGCTGCTCCAAAGTAGTACTTTGCCTGCTCTAAAGTTTGCCCCAAAAAAGTAAAAATTCGCTTCCATTACTGCTATTGCCATGCACATTTATTTCTTTTATTTTAAAAGGGGACATGAGCCCCGAACTTAAGTTTATTTTGTATGAGTAGCAGTGTTGCAGTGTCCATTCCATTCCCATTCCATTCCAGGGAATCTCAACTTGTCGTAATGACATTCT